CTTCTTCCCCGGACTACAGTTCCCATCATCCACCCCTCCCCTGCCGGCATGCTGGGACTTGTATTCCCCCCAAAAAAGAAACTTTCCCCGTTCCTTTGCGCCAGGGCTCTGGGAAGCTCGATCCGGTGGGACGGAGTTCCTTTTCCCCCCTTCTTCCCCGGACTACAGTTCCCATCATCCACCCCTCCCCTGCCAGCATGCTGGGAGTTGTAGTCCGAAAAAAAAGAAAAACTTTCCCCGTTCCTGTGCGCCAGGGCTCTGGGAAGCTCGATCCGGTGGGACGGAGTTCCTTTTTTTTCTTCTTCTTCCCCGGACTACAGTTCCCATCATCCACCCCTCCCCTGCCAGCATGCTGGGAGTTGTAGTCCGAAAAAAAAGAAAAGAAACTTTCCCCGTTCTTGTGCGCCCGGCCTCTGGGAAGCTCGATCCGGTATCCTCGCATAGAAACCATCCCCGATGGGTGGTGGGTCTCCCAAAGCGGGGAGTGCGGTTCGAATCCCGCCACCCCCCCAAAAAAAACCACAAGGGGTTTTGGACGTCGGTGGAGGAAAGAGGGCGAAAAAATGGCTTTAAGACATCGGAAAGCAGGTGCAGAAATGGCTCAGCCTCCCGAGAAACCGCAACAGCAACGGTGTGTGTGGGTTTCTAACTGGGGCCACCCAAAATGTCTACAGCGGTGAAAAGTTTGCAAACAAAAATTACATTCAAAAACAAAAGCGGCGAAGGTCTAGACGCACCTTAAATTATGTTTCAAAGTTACAGAAAGATGCCTGCTAGAAACATAAAGGCGTATTTACAAAACAAAACGTGGAGAATACAAGTATTTTAGAGAAAGGGTTTTTTTAAAAGCATTTAAATTTTTTAAATTATTTTTAGTCTTTATGCATATTAATAACACACACAAACACAGCTATACCTGTAGTTGTGGGTTTTTTTTAAAATGTAAGTCGAAAGGATATCTTTTTAAAGCATTTGTGCCTACCTTTTTTCCCCCATAGCTGGAAGACTTTAAGAGGTTTGCCATATTTGGGATTTTATTTTGCATTTATGGAACATACCAGTAACGCAGAAATGGAGCTGGTAGAATTAGACCAGCAGATGTTACTTGGAACAATTGCAACAGTGAAAAGACTTATATCTCGATACTCAGATGATACTCAAGAAATGATGGTATGGTTTACTTCTGGAATAAACGCATCAGTTTTTCCTTTCCGTTTTCTTCTTTCACAGCGCTAGTGGTTTCTCTTTATAGTCTGGATGATCTTGGCCAAAGTCTTCAGTGAGATGCCCAGACACTTAATTATCTTTTCTAATTCTTTCCTAGCTTCCTTTATGAACATCAGTCTTTTTCTGATTCCTTGGTTGCAGTCCCGTTTGGACTGATGATCAGACCAAAACATAAAGGTCTTTAACAATTCCAGTTTCTTCATTGTCAGCATTAATGTGATATAATTCTTCCGTAGTCACGAATGTTGTCTTCTTAAGGTTCAACTATAATCCTGCTTTTGCCTTTTCTTTTTTACTTTTCTCAAGTCGTTCTTTCAACTCGTTGCTACTTTCTGCCAGTAATAGGGCATCAGTTGCATACTGTCGACGACTGTTGTTTTTCCTTATTTTCATTTCTCCTTCATCTAAACCTAATCCACTTTTCCATTTAAAATATTTTGCGCATAAATTGAACAGTTAGGGAGATAAAATATATCGCTGTCTGCCCCCTCTGCCCCTTGGGGAACCAACCGTTCCGTTTCCCTATATTCTGTCCTAATGGTACATCTTGTTCAGAGTGCAGGTTACATCAACCATAAAATATTGGCCAAAATCCTGTTACACAACTCTGCACATATAAAAGCTGATGATGTCATCAACAACCACGGACGTTAATCTCTAATGTAAATGTTTTTGCTCCCCTCGCCTAGATTCTAAGGCTCCCTACAGATTTATTTTGGCCTGGGAAAGACTTAGGGAACCTCAGGATAGAGAGGGGAAGATTTTAATACCTATTAAATCACTGCCTCTGGTCCCACCACTCTGCATTGGCAGTGGCAATTTTCTGGTAGTAATGTCCCCTCCCCTATCCGGAGTTCCCATAGGAACCCTGGGGAGCCTTGCAATTTGGGAGAGGGAAAGAGGAAATTGTAAGTTAAAAATTAAAATCCGCGGCTGATGACATCATCCGCTTTTCTGGACACAGAGTGGTGCGACAGGATCTCAGCCATTGCGCCACTTCTGTTTCTTTTGTCTATAGTTTTTCATGATCCACACAGTCAAAGGCTATTAACGTAATCTCTAAAGCCCAAATTGATTTTCTTCTGAAAATCTTCGGTGCCCTTCAGAAGCCCCCACATCGATTTGCAGTAGGATCTGTCCTGCCTCTTCCTTTTCTGAATCCAGCTCGAACATCTGGCATTTCTCACTCCATATATGGTAATGGCGAGCGGCTTTCTTTGTAAAATCTTCAGCATTCGTGTTCTGCGACTTCCCTGTTTCCCCCCCACACTGTCAGTTTTCTTCTGTTGATCTGACTCCCTGATAAAGGAGTCGTCACCGGAGACATCTGGAATGCCAGATGTTTACAACCCCTGCTTTAGTGCATTTCGCATCCTTGAACCGAGGACCAACAAGGTTCCTGTGTGTGAATATTTTTCCTGAAAGAGAGATTTTATATTATGTGTGTATACACACACACATCAGTGGTAACAACTTGGAGGGAGGGAGGTTGAAACGGGCGGCTTCCCCAGTAACAGCAGATGCTTCCCGGTGTCAACGTTATCAGCCTTCTGGCGTGATGCTTTCTGGGTGAAAGCCACCCCCTCATGTCCTCTCCGTTTCCCCATAGCTTTTTGTTCCCCAGCCCACGTCAGACTCCTTGCTGAACACGATTCAGCCGAAACAAAGCAAAAAGAAATCAATCTGGTACGTTAGGGGAGGAGGAGGAAAGGAAGACTTTGCATTTCAGCCCTTATTAAGAGACGGGAAGAAAAAATTAAAAATCAATTAAAAACATGGATGTTTCGGCAGGCCTTCCCATCAGATAATTCCTGATGCCCTTCTTCTTTCCCTTTCCTATTGTTTTTCCCATCTTGTTTAATGTTTCTGCTGTGCAAAAATTGTTTTATATATATGTATTGTATTATTTTATGTTGTTAGCTGCCTAGAGTGGTCCTAATCCGACCAAGTAGGCGGGATATAGATAGATAGATAGATAGATAGATAGATAGATAGATAGATAGATAGATAGATAGATAGATAGATAGATAGATAGATAGATAGATAGATAGATAGATAGATAGATAGATAGATAGATAGATAAATAAAAGCCACCTTGAAGAATACAGAAATTTGTTGCGTGAAGTTAGATCTTTTGGTCTATCTAGCTCAGTATTGCCTGCACTGATCGGCAGCCGCTGAGTCGCAGCCTTTCGCGGTCCTCGTTTCAAATTAAGGAAAGTTTCTAGCCCAGGTGATCCTGAATCACAAGATAATTCAAACAGGAATGTAGAAAGCTATCTAATTAGAGCCAGAGTCTAGAAAATAATTTTTGAGAAGGCACTTGGTTTCATGATCCGTGACTCGGGTTGTTTTCTAAAGTTACTTGCTTTCGTGGTGGACTGCAATGCTTTTTTTAAAAAAAGTCATTGCATGAACTTGTTCATGCTCATTACCATCATCATCGTCCATCATCTTAGAACGGCAGAGCTGGAAGGGACCCCGTGGGTCGCTGAGTCCGGCCGCTGTCAAGGAGGACCCGTGGGGGAATCGAACTCCCAACTCTGCAGCCGGAAACCACTGAGCTACACAGCCGTAGGAGTGCGACACTCCAAACTGATAAAAGTATGCAAAAAAGGGAAAAAATTCCATTTCAAATGAGCATCATTGTGCCTAAAATGTCCTTTAAAAGTAATGCAAATACGTATTAAGAAAAAGTTGCATGCTCCACCAAATGTTTACAATCTTTCTTGGTCATTATGTTTCTTTTGAAGTTGAACTTCTTTGCTCACTTGTTACCGGAGTTCTTGGTCACTACGTTTCTTGTGAAGTTGAACTTCTTTGCTCACTTGTTACCGGAGTTCTTGGTCACTACGTTTCTTTTGAAGTTGAACTTCTTTGCTCACTTGTTACTGTAGTAAATTAAAAAAAAAAGCAGCAAGTAAGTTGCTCCTAAGCTGTCGTGAGAACCTGGCTTCTTCAAACCTCCTTTCCCGGCATCATCTGGAGAGGTCGGAAGCTGCTGAGCCATGGATCCTTGGCAGGCTGAGCAGCTACCCTGCTTTTGAGCCACGCCCCTTTCTCTAGAGGCGAGATAAGATCCTAGTCCTCAATAAAAGGTTGGTTGTCAAGGAGGGGCCTCGGAAATTGCCTTGCTAACCCTATTCGAGCCCCTTATTTCCTGCTACTGGGAACAACAGCTCCCAACCCCCATCTAACATGGCAGCAACATTTGTTTAAATTAATCATTGCTAGGAAGGGCGTTTGTCTCTTGATAAGGCAGCCCAGGAGCAAAATTTATGCATGCTTGTGTGAATAAAGGGCCTTTTTTCTCTTTGTTTCTACAGGGAAACATTGGGTTGGGCACAGATTCAAAAGAACCAGCCTGGTTGACGGAGTTTATGCTTCGGAAATAACCAGCGTTTAGAGGGCACCGAAAGCCACCGGTGAATTTACGGGTGAACGATAGGAAAATATGTATTCGCGAAGGCTTTTGTGGCCGGGATCCAATGGTTGTTGTGGGTCTTTCAGGCTCTTTGGCCACGTTCTGAAGGTTGTTCTTCCTAACGTTTCGCCCGTCTCTGTGGCCGGCATCTTCAGAGGACAGGAGTAGGAAATCTGTCTGTGTTCTTCAGAGGACAGGAGTCCGGACTCTGTCTGTGCTCTGGGGCAATCTGTGGGAGTCCTGACTCCTGTCCTCCGAAGGGGCCAGCCACCGTGACAGGTGAAACGTCAGGAAGAACCACCTTCAGAACACGGCCAAAGAGCCCGAAAAACCCACAACCACCAATAGGAAAATAAATGGCCACCTCTTCTGGCCTGATTCACGTTCCTCAAACGCATCACTTTTTCAGCCTTTTGCCCAGCCTCCAAAGTGGCTAGTTATTATTATTATTAAATTAATTATTATTTAATTTCGTACCCCGCCCATTTAGACCAAAGTTCTACTCTGGGCGGCTAACAACAATCCAGACGAAACAAAACAAAACAGAACAACGCCATTCATACAGTTGAAGAGGGCAAGGAATCAATTAGGTGCCGACAGGAGGGAAATCCTGCCTAAGGAGCCAGATCTTTGAGTTATGAGACTTTGAGAGGCAAGACCGGCCGAAGAAGAGAGAAGGGCCCCTTCGGAGTGCTGGATCGTTCAGCGGATGAGGTCTCTGCCTGTGGAGCGGACGGTTGAGAGTTCGATTCCCCCACTGGGCCTTCTTGACAGGAGCCAGGCTCCGTGATCCATAGTGTCCCTTCCAGCCGGATGATGTTCTAAGAGGATGCATATAGCTCGTTGGATAGTTCAGGGGGCTGACGTCCGCGGCTGCAGGACCCGGGTTCGGGTGAGGGGGTACCTCCTAGGAGAAGAGCCAGCCTGTGATGCAGGGGGAAAGTTGCAGAGTGGACCCTGTGGATCCATTGGGCCCCTTCTAGCTCTGGAGTTCTAAGATGATTATATTTCAGTTCTTTTTTTCCTGGGACCCCCCGAAGCATCTTTTGGAGAGCTCTCTCAAGGCGTCAAACCACTTCCTCCTTTCTGATCTCATGGGCTCCACCGTGACTCAGAGTCAACCGTTTCCTTTCCTGTTTCTACACTTCCTCCAGAGACTTGCTTTCTCCGGTCTAAATCAAGAGTAGATCTTTTTGCAGCCGGCCGTGTACGGAGGCAGAAAAAAGTCCTTTTGAAAGACCGAGGTGGGGGGGGTGGGAGAGTGAGGTTCGGTTCTAGAGTTTGGAAGGAGAAGACTTTTTCCGAGTTTTCCCCACAAGCTGTCCGCGGTTGACCTAGGTGTACAAAAAAGGATCATGAGAAAACACGAACGACTGGACTGCATTCCGGGCCAACGTGCCTTCCGTATATATTCTGGACTACAGTTCTCATCCGCCCCTGCCGGCATGCCCAGTCGTTGAGGATGATGCGGAGTAGACCTCAAAACATACGTTGAGCGCCATAGCGGAGAAGGTGCACATTTAGTGCAAAGCCAGAGACAAATCTTTGGAAGAAAGAAGTGACAGGCAACATCTTTACTGTAACTAGTTCCTTCCTGGGTGATAGGAATGGAACTTGAAGTTACATTTCAAAAAAAAAAAGCCATATAATAAGCTGCATCAAAGGGACTTTATTGATGCAATGACCAACATTGTCTAGTCATTTTAAAATGTTTTTTTCAAGGGCGTTTTAAAACACGTTTAGCGGGGCTGGAAGAATATGTTCAGAGTTTTCAAACAATGTAAAGCAATTTTGAAGGGTCAGTGGCATGGGTTTATATGCCCATCTCTTTTCTCCCCCCCCTTTTTTTTGCCAAAGTACTGGTTCTTCCGCCCTTAAATAAACCTGATTGATTTTTTTCCCCCTTCTTCCATCCCAACCCTCTTTTCCTCCACAGTTTGTAAAATGTGGCTATGCCGGGTCCAACTTCCCCGAGCACATCTTTCCAGCTCTGGTGGGACGTCCCATCATCCGCTCCACGGCCAAAGTTGGTAACATTGAGATCAAGGTGAGTGGCTCTTCGGGCAATCAGATTCTGAACTGGCTTAAAGGACAGATCTATTTTATAGGTTCCTTTAAAGGGCAGGATGTTTGATTTCTAAAAGTGGCAGTTTCCCCCTCCTCTGCATTTAAACGTGAATGTTAATACAGTAGGACCCCTGTATCCGCGAGATCAATAGCTATTTTTTTTTACTTATCCAACATTCTGAAAATATTTAAAATATTAAAAGAAAAAAAAGGGGATGTTCACAATGTATTTACCAGAACTGGCCACTGAAGGGATCCCCAGAGACCATGCTACATATTCTTGTTGTTGAAAAACAACAAGATATACAGTGTGTGTGTGTGTGTGTATAAATATATATATAAATGTGTGTGTGTATATATTGTGTATATGTATGTATATGTGTGTATGTATATACATACATACATACATACATACATATACACTATATGTGTGTGTGTGTATGTGTGTATATGTATACACACACACACACACACGCATATATATATATATATATATATTCACCTCACTTTTCTCCTTTAAAAAGACCCAAGGCAGCTTATGTCACTAAAAGACAACATTTAAAAGCTAAAAAAACAGTACTATATATAGACATATTGAAAAAGAATAAAATACCACACTAAAAATATCGCACTTTATTAGCTCCACTTCTCCATACGCAGACATAGCATTTCCACGCACGCCTCCCCCCATCCCCGGCTGGGGGATTCTGGGATTTTTATGTCACACATCCCATCTCTGGATTTGACAGAACCACAGCTCCCATTATCCTGACTACTTGCCACACTGGCAACAGCTGACGGCCCCTGAAATATGGGGCNNAACTGTGGATAATTGCGAACACTACACATAGCATGGATATATATATGCCCCGCTTGACGATTACCCCGCTTGACGAGGAAATTGCTTAACGATGAGGGGTTTGGTACCAGTCCTTCAGATATAGTCTATCAAGGAATCCCCGTACCATTTGAAACAGAATTTCATTTCCTTCCCCACCAGGACCTAATGGTAGGCGATGAGGCCAGCGAGCTGCGTTCAATGCTGGAGGTGAATTATCCCATGGAAAACGGGATTGTACGCAACTGGGAGGACATGAAGTATCTGTGGGACTACACGTTCGGGCCCGAGAAACTCAACGTCGAGCCACAAAACTGCAAGATCCTGCTCACCGAGCCCCCCATGAACCCCACCAAAAACCGAGAAAAAGTCATCGAGGTAAAGGGCAAGGAGGTGAAAGGGGTTCCGGATGGGGTGGGGTGGGGGGGTCTGAATGTTGGCGCTGGTGTCCCAAATCTGGATCCGTTGAGTCCAGAACTTTAGAGTGTCATTCACTCCTGGAAGGATTTGAAGCCACGCACCCCGGGCATGTAATGTCAGCTCCGGCCACTCTTGCCCGGGCAGAAGGTGGGAAATAAATCTGTCTGCTGTTTGCTCAGCGCCTGGCATCGCCAGGCATTCATTCATTCGCTCTCTGCTTGCGCCATTCTCGTGTGAACGAAGCCGGATTGGGTTCTTGGCCCGCAATGGCTCTTCCTAGTGGGTTCTCCTGATTCCTTGGTTATCCGTGTGACCGGCCGTGGACCAAATGCTCCTTCTCTCTCTTCCCATGTCCTCCAGGTGATGTTTGAGACCTACCAGTTTGAAGGCGTCTACATCGCGATCCAGGCGGTGCTGACCCTTTACGCCCAAGGTGAGTCAGGGGGTCGAAGGTGTGTGAGGAAGGGAATCAGGTTTTTTTTTTTGGAGAATTCCCATTCGTTGCTAAAGTTGATCTTGGGAGACCCCGATTCCGGTACATTATTTTTTGGAAACAGAACGGGAGCAACCTTCTCCCTCTTCGGCCCCAGCTTAGCTCAAGAGATCCAGTTGTTCCGGAAAAGGAAAGGGATTCAGGTTGAGGGCCAGATCCGCAGGAGAAATCCGTGGTTTAGTCCTCTGACTGCGGGGCCCGAGGTTAGGGTGTTCGATTCCCCCACGGGGCCTTCTCAACAGCGGCCGGATTTAGTGATCCAGAGCATCCCCCCCAGCTCTGCATTTCTAAGATGATGACGATGATGATGATGATGGTGTTCAAGAGGAGGAGCCTTTTAGGGGTAAAAAAGAGGGAGCAACTCGAAGCTTGGCTAGGCACACCAAGCCTGAATGGATCGCTCTGTCCATTTGGGTTAATCTCATATTCCAGTTTTTTCAGACTTTAAGTTCTTGGGACGAAATTTGCGAAATTTGGCAAAATGCTTGTAAAAATAAAACTGAACGGAAATGAAGTTCCCCCTTGTGCTGGTCAGCAAGTTCTCTAAATGCGAGGTGTTCCTCGGGTGACATCCGGGTGACGCATCCAAATTTTTGCCTCGGCAGGCCTTCTCACTGGCGTCGTGGTGGACTCGGGCGATGGGGTCACCCACATCTGCCCCGTCTACGAGGGTTTCTCCTTGCCCCACCTCACCCGCCGACTGGACATAGCTGGGCGCGACATCACGCGCTACCTCATCAAGGTGAGAGCAAGACAACCTGTCATCTTCCCGGGGCATGGGGTGCTGTGTTTCTAAAAAAGAGAAAACGAGGCAGGCGGATAAATCAAAGATGGGCCTCCTTACCATCATGAGCGTCTGTTCCAGGAGGTGGAATTTTCGCTCATCCCGAGAGCGGATTTGATTTCAGCGATGTTTGCACAGCAGCGGCTGCCTTCCAGTCAAAGTTTCGATGCATATCATTTATACTTGAATAAAATTGATCTAGATTAGAGATGGGTGTATTCGTATACGAATACCCCCCCCAATTCTAGATCCATGATTGCATTTATGGATTTATGGATTAAATTCATGGGAAAAACAAGCCGAGCAGTAGCTGATTGAAGAGAGGCCTGGATGCCTTCTTAATTAACTTCAGCAATTAACGGGTTCCCTAATTGGGGCCACTACCGAGAGGACCCCGACTATTTAGGTCAGCTGGCTGAATCCTCTTTACATGCAGGCATATGATAAGTCTTTCTCAGTGCATAAATGTTTGCCTGTTCACAACAAACACTTTCCTTTAGTAAAAAATATGGTTATATTTATTACTGCATTGCCTTTTTGCAGACAGTTTGTCATTAGAAGAGGAAAATCCTTAAGTATTGAGAACATCAGATTGCGGCAGCTGGAGGATTTTGCATCTCCTGTCATTTGCAAATAAGCTTGCTTTGTTTTGCGATTCGTCCTGGGGAGGGAAACGATGGCTTTGTGTGCAAGTCGGATGGCTCAGTTATGAAAGTCTGCTGAAATCATGCCCCCTCCGACACGAACATGACTTCAGCATCTAAGGACGAGCTACCTCTGAAATGCAGTTTGGCCCGTCGTCTCGTTGATCCTCAGCCAGCTACATGGAATGCTCGTTTGTGTGTTTCTGACACTGATGTCCCACATCACAGTAGGACCCACATAACCGTGGGACTGGTATCCTCAGTTTCACTAAATCTGCAGTCTGAAAATATCAAAAATATTAAAAGAAAAAAAAACTAGAAATATGTATTTTCATGATATATTTACCAAAACTGACCACTAGAGGGAGCCAGAGAACATGCTATGTATTTTCATTGTTAAAGAATACATAGCATGTTCTCTGGCTCCCTCTAATGGCCAGCTCTGGTAATACATAATGAAAATACATATTTCTGATAGTGTTTGCTATTATCCGTGATTTCCAGCATCTGCAGGGGGGCTTAGAACCAATCTCCTAAGCATACAGGGGTTTTACTGTACTCCAATAAGACAAAGGCAGCACATGTAGGTCCTATTCTCCCCATTTTATCCTCACAACAACAACCCCATGAGGTCGGTCAGGTGGAGAAAAAGGTGAGAAAACTCAGGACCACCCAGCGAGTTTCAGGGCATGTTGAGATGTCAATCTGAATCTCCCGGCATTAACCACTGTACCCTATTGCCTCTCGATGAGTGTTCCTGTAAAAATTGCTGCTCTTCCCAAGACCACCTGTCTAGGATACTTTGCATGTTGGAAAAAAATTTATAACCATCAAAACTGATTCAAATATAACAGGTGGGAAAGTTTAATGCTCCTGACCGTTTGCTCTGGTTCAGCTCTTGCTGTTACGTGGTTATGCCTTCAACCACTCAGCCGACTTTGAGACCGTGCGAATGATGAAGGAGAAGTTGTGTTACGTGGGCTACAACATCGAGCAGGAGCAGAAACTAGCCCAGGAGACCACGATCCTTGTGGAGTCTTACACGGTAAATGAAACGTTCACCTGTGACTTAAGAGGGGAGAAGGATTTTATCTCGGATGCGTTTTTCAGTGCATTCGTTTCTCAAATGCCGTCTCTCGCGCAGCATTCGTGAACAAGATTTGGAAATTTCAACTACTTATGGGGGAATTTCAGTCTTCTATGCAAGAATTTCTTGGTCAAAAAATAAATAAATAAACCTTTTTTTTTCTTCGCCCCTTCCTGCAAAAAAAGGTTTTAAGAATTACACTTTCCTGTACAGTGGTGCTTCGCTAGACGATGATAATCCATTCCACTGAAATCACTGTTTAGCGAAATCATCGTCTAGTGAAAAGCATTTCCCCACTGGAATGCATTGAAACCTGTTTAATGCGTTCTAATGGGGAAGAATCGTCGTCTAGCAAAGATCGGCCATAGGAAAGCTGCTTTGTGAACCGCTGATCAGCTGTTTAAATCGCTGTCTTGCGAAGCTTAGGTCCCGAAAACACCCGTTTTGCGAGCGCAGAGGGAGCTGTCAAAATCGTCGTCTAGCGGAAATCGGTTTGCGAAGCAGGGACCAAACATTGTCCAGCGAAATTCCCCCATAGGAATCACTGTTTTGCGAATCGCTATAGCGATTGCAAAAAGTCAATGTCTAGCGAAAAAAACTGTCATGCGCGGTAACCATCTAGCGAGGCACCACTGTACTTCTTGCTAATGGCATGTTAGGTTATGCCCTTTTTTCTCGTGTCGTCCCTTCAGCTCCCAGATGGGCGTGTGATCAAAGTCGGGGGCGAGCGCTTTGAGGCCCCAGAAGCCTTGTTCCAGCCTCATCTCATCAACGTGGAAGGCGTAGGCGTGGCTGAGCTCCTTTTCAACACCATCCAGGCAGCCGACATCGACACCCGGTGAGTAGAGGCCTGAGGGGATTCCACAGGGGACCCTCTAGAGCAGATGTTAAACCTCGTGAGACCCACTTGACGGCTTTAATTTAATTTAATTTAACCTAATTTAATCTAATTTAATTTAATCTAATTTAATTTAATTACATTTAATTTACCTTTACCAATTTACCTTTACCATGCTACCATAGTCTCTCGAGACTGAAGGATGCTTACTACTTCCTTTACCTTTACCTATACCAATTTAATTTAATTTAACCTAATTTAATCTAATTTAATTTAAT